TGCCAAGCAAATTGCCCTTGTCCAGGCAGTCAGAAGAAGTCAACGCTCACTTGAAGACACATGCATGCACACACACACCAAACACAAACTTACCCAAACAAAGAGAGAAAGAGCTTTCTGCAGCCCACGTGAAACCAAGACCATTTGTGTTCAGTTTGGTTTAGAGAAAATCCCGTAATTCCATTCTAACATCATAATCTAAAGCAAATTCTGGGACATCCACACAGCCAGCAGTGCGAGATGAACCACACTCACTGACTGGGTTCGCACACTGGGCAAGCCAAACATGTGATCCATGTCATTCGGACTGATCGTACTGTATGAATTCCCACGCTGTAATTTTAAACCATGGTTTATAGCTGACCCTCTGTTGCAAATCCAGGGAATTATATGGCATCCAATAAGCCACTGTTAAAGAAACTATAACTTGGCACAATGGGTTTATTAGGCCAGTAGAAGGCAGCTTCAATACATTTATGGACCTCATGATAATTCTAACTTGTAGCTTTATTTCTAAACGTTTCTAAATATTCCCTCGCCCCAATTTTCAAATTATATTGCTGCTCTATATGACCATGAGTGTATAATCTTTACTATTCTAGGGTGCCAATTATCATCTACTGTTAGAGACAAGTCTGTAGCAACACTGAAATGAACACAAGTTGGTTTGTAAGCTAGACTTCATTACAGGTAGTCCTCGACTTATGACCACATTTTTGTTGCTAAGCAAATCAGTTGTTAAATGAATCACTTCAGTGATTAAGTTAGTAACATGGTTGTTAAGTGAATCTGGCTTCCCCATTGACTTTGCTTGTCAGAAGGTCTCAAAAGGGGATTAGATGACCCTGGGACACGGCAACTTGTCATAAATATGAGCCAGTTGCCAAGCATCCAAATTTTGATCAGGAGACCATGGGAATGCTGCGACCAAGTGTGAAAAACGATCATAAATCACTTTTTCCAAAGCTATTATAACTTTGAATGGTCACTAAACGAACTTTGTTAAGTCAGGGATTACCTGAATTGTACTTTGGATTTCTTGCACCAAGCTTAACTTACTCTGTAGCCAACACTTGTTTGCTTCCTCTTTCTGGAAGCAAGAAAACATGGAAATGGATGGAAAATGATTGGAACCTAAGAAATCAACGAAGCATCCTGAAAAGTAACTGGCCAGTGCAATTCCTAAAACAAGAAGTCGGTTAAAAGCTATCTTTATCTGCTGGGTATTCTGAGTTATGGTTAAAGAACACCGAGCTGTATTATCTAATGTTTGTGTAAAGGGGAATAATTGTTATGCTGAGGGCTAATTTGCATTACTGTTGACAAGCAGTGCTTAGTCCATCCTTCTGTATCATCGGGGATTTTATGCTGACTCACCTGGTGCAGCTGCAATACAACTGCATAGCAAATAAACTGGTTTTCTACAGTTTGGTTGCTCTGGCTGCTTCCCCCCATCCTTCTAACATAAACACACCATGGGATGGCTCATTCGAGATTTCAAGGACAAGATAAAGATTCTCATGTTTAAAGAGGGAGAATACTGTAGAATTGTTGAACGTGGCAATTCTGAACAGCAGTGAATCTATATTATTGCCATTTCTTAAAGCAGTTAGGCCTGTAACAATTGTTTTTAAGTTAGAATGTCAAGGGGGGGGGGAAGGAAGGAAGGAAGGAAGGAAGGAAGGAAGGAAGGAAGGAAGGAAGGAAGAAGAAATTTTGAATATGTCAGAGAAACTGGTACAACTAAGGGCTCGATGATACACGAGGAGAGAAAGTTGGAAATTAGCCAGTATATTTGACAATAATATTACTAACCTTGTATCATATTACTTTTTAGAAATGTTATACGGAATAGAATTCATGATTGCCAGACCTGCGTTAGGATAGCTTCCAATGTACTTCTAAGATAGCTTATAGGCACTGTATATCCATAATTGCTTTTTACTTCAATGAAAGAGACAGTGATTAGCCAAATGTATTTTGTACATGAATGTCTATGTCTGTGTGGAAATCAGTAAAATATATTGGAATACCTCAACAAGAATGCCCTTTTTGCCTGGCTGTTTCTACTTTACCAGTAAAGGAGGATATATTTGTAGCTCAGGGTTGAAATCAGGGGTCCTTGGTGCTCTCTGAGCTTGGTTGTTTTCTTGCAGACGTCTCATTACCGATGTAGGTAATGTCATCAGTGTTAGTAAGGAGTGGGGTTTGCTCTCAGTTTATATTCTAACGCAACTAAAGCAAGCTGCTAAAATATAAACTGAAAGCAAACCCCACTCTTACTAGCACTGATGACGTTGGGTAATGAAATGTCTGCAAAAAAACAACCAAGCTCAGAGACTACCAAGGACGCCTTGTTTCTACCTCAGCTGTGTAAAAGTTATATTGCAAACATCAAATCTTTGGTAAAATACTTAAGGTACAAACTTGCACTAAAAAAGGAACTATGACTACACCTAGAAGTATTCTATATTCAAAGAATAATAGCATCCTTATAATCTCTGAAGATATCTGCATAGAATATTCCTTTGGTATGCTTAGATTCTTATCTAAATATTGAAATGAAGGCCACATGTATACTTTTTAAAAACTCTTTAACACTAAATGAATAATAGCATCCTGAAAATGAATCATGGAACAAGATGATCGCTTAAGCATCTTTCATTAAACTATAAGCAAATGCATTTAGAACAGCATTAACCTCCTTCTTCCTTCTTCATATTTATTCAAATGGTTACCTGGTAAATCATCACCAAGTTTCAATGAGCTTAAAGTTGCATTTAAGATTTGCGCAGCCTCAAGTGGTTTTAAAAATCTAACGACTGCCCTCCCCAGGATGTTATATATAAATTGCTTAGCACATGCAATGTGTATACTCATACGTATGTATATATGTAAATACATAAGCTATTGAGAAATATTTGAATGTTAGTATCGTTCTTTGGAATCTGAGCAATGCCTAATATTAGGAAACTATCATTAATTCTATTGTGCTTAGCTATCATTTAAATCATTTAGGGGAGTAGATATCATTTTGTATTCAAATATATCACTTATAAATTCATTTATAAGGAGAATGACTCATAAATCAAGAAACGGCATAGCAAAGTCATTATTTTCAGGGTCATTGCTGTGAATTTTGACAACTAACCGTTCCAGAAGTAGAAAGAAATTCACATAGCTAATTAGGTATTCGGTTGTTCATTTAATCTTTCACTTTATGAGATTTTTGCCTAAATTCAAGAACAACTGCATAGCTGTACTTTAAGGGAAAAAAAGCATTGTGACATGTTTTTTAAGTTTAATTTTTAAAGAAAGATATTGATGTTTAGTTTGTCTGCCTATTTCCTCAACCTTTTCCCATGTTTGAAATTTTTTCTGTATTTGTAAAACTTATTTTAAGTAATGTCCAAAATAGGAAAAAAGTATGTTTAAACAAATAGTCTATTCCCTTTTTGCACAGCCCTTGTCAGAACTATTAACATGGACAAGGCACAGTGAGATCTATGCACCAAGGCAGGTCAGACAGTAGAAAAATCCACTGCAATTCTAGCATAGAAAACCCTTTCATAACATAGGAACACCAATTTATCAAAAACCATTAAATGGCAATGTTTCCACATCAAACTATGCCATAAATGTGATCTGAATGTCCTTGGGTTTACTTGGGGTGTGAAGTCACCCATTATAATTTATAAATCAGGGCTTAGCATATAGTATGATCTGTTGGGTAAAATGCGATTGAGCAAACATGAATTACCATAATGTGTGATCTCTGAACCTCTCTAAAACTCCTAATCCTCATCTTCATTCAAAAATCCCATCAAGCAGAATTAGACTTGGATTGCTTGTAGCAATTCATTCTCCAGGCCTGTTTCCCTGGTGGTGGAAGAATCCCATTTCAGGGGGGGAAAAAAAATTAAACTTGGAGCTTCCTAATTGTATCTTAAATGGATCTATTAAAAAAAAATAGCAGAAAGCCATGTCTCTGCATGGCACAGATTGATTTTCAGAGGTTATCAGCTTTTAATGGACATAAAGGGTCAGAAAAATACTTTTTATCTGCTTGTCGGGTTGCCGTGATCTGTTTTCCATCATTTACAAGTTCTAAAGTTAATGCTCTTGAAAAGAGCAACCCTCTAGTAAATTTCTTAAATATTCTTTTCAAGGTAAGTTTTGTTGGGGGGGATGGGGACCCTCTAATTCTGTGAATCTTTATTTAAAACCCAGTGTTCAACAGAAGTGCATTCATTTCCACTGAACAGTAACTCTAACCATAGAAGATATTTTGTTTTACAAATGATGGAGTCTAAGGATTCATTTTGGAAATGAAATCATGAACAGTGACATGAACATTTAATGTCTGCATTCACAAACTGGTGTAGAGATTAGTGCAATCAATGTATGTAATACCGGAGAACTGTGAATCAGACACCCCGTCCACAACCTTTAAAACTATGAGAAATTTTAGGTTTGTTGCCTAGGGAAAACTGTAGCCAATGTTTTATAAATAAAAAGAAACAAGTTATTTAAACAAAGCAGCTTTACAATGTCTATGGAGATTTTCTGTCACTCGGGTCATGATTGGATCCCAAAGGTGCTATTCAAAAGGCAACTGGAGATTCTTGGGTTTTATTTTTCCTTGAGGGATATGATACCACCTCTCTCCTGTCAATAATACAGTCCTTTCAGCAGCACCAAGAGAGTTCCACACCCATTTGCATTCTGATTCAGGTGACCCTGAGGACACGGATAAATCCCCAAGAAGCCTCAAGAGTACTAACAAGATGACCGCAAAGCATCCAAATCCTTCCATTCCCCACCATTCAGCCAGAACTGAAGAAGCTTCTTGGATGAGAAACAAAGTGTTTTCAAGGGGGAGGGGAACACAAGTCCAGTTGCCTTTTAGGAAAAAAAGCACCTTTGGCTCAGCTTTGTAATGTTACATCATAAAGAGAGACAAAGACACAGGTTATGGACCTCACTGTTATTTCCTGCAGGTGTTCTCGAAATACGAACGGTGGCGGTTGGAATAGTGGCAATCAAAGGAGTCGCAAGTGAATACTTTCTGGCTATGAACAAGTCTGGGAAGCTTTATGGAAAGGTACTGGCACAATTATTAGGAGCTACTTGCATTAAATGAAAAATGGGTCTGTTCCAGATTTCTTTTTTTATCAGCTGTGTTTTATACCAAGGGTCCCCAATCCCCAGGCCGTGGACCGGCCACGGTGTGCCAAAACCCGGCCCACGTAAAAAAGCAAAGCCCCATCAGGCAGCCCGTGAAACCACAACCCCACTCTGGTCCACGGAAAAACCTCTCTCTGTCGAACTGGTCCCTGGTGCCCCAAAGGCTTGGAAGTGCTATTTTATACCATATTGGCCCCAGTCCATAGGAGTTGCTAGATGACTGGTGGCTTTTATGAATGGCTCTCATTTACAGACAGTTGTACTGGAATGCAAACTTCCTGGAGATCAGAGTTTTCCCTCTTTTGACTTCATTCTCCCAGAAGCCACATTTAAAAAAAAAAAAGCCAAACAAAAGTCAACAGGGAGAAGAAGCTGCTGGCTAGTTGATCTGTGGTTTCTTGAAAGTTTTACAATTCTGATTTACTTTACTTACCCATTTTGTTTTGGGCTCTTCTACTAACCAGCCACGCCACCCTTACCTTGCCTCGCTCCCCATTGCAGATTAAATGCTGAACTACAACTCCCAGCAGCCCATGCAATTGACTTTGTTTGCTTTGGATGACGCAGCTGTTCAGCAACATCAGGAATGATGTTGATGTATATTAGTCCTTATTAAAAAGTGTAAGGCATTTGCCTAGTCAGTGGGTACATTTTAAGTAGATTGTACTGCGCGCAGGTAGTCCTCGACTTACGACTGGTCGCTTAATGACCATTTGAAGTTACTAAAAAGGGAGACAACCTGAAGTTCCGACAGTCAAAAACCCACCCACCCCGGTCACATGACTGCACTTCAAGTGCTTGACAACACAGTCACATCTGCAGTGTTGTGACCATGATATATGATGACCTCTGCTGAAAATCAGCTCTTATTTCTAGTTTTTGGCAAAAGCACATCATAGCGAACAATGGTTTCGCTTAACGTCCGCCGCATTCCCATTTAAAGCACAACGTTCACTTAATGGCTACTCCTACTGCAATTTGACAGATCGAATCCCACCAGACTCAAGGTTGACTCATCCTTCCATCCTTCCGAGGTGGGTAAAATGAGGACCCAGATTGTTGGGGGCAATAGGCTCACTCTGTAAACTGCTTAGAGAGGGCTGTAAAGAACTGTGAAGCAGTATATAAGTCTAACTCCTATTGCTAAGAAGGAAGGAAGGAAGGAAGGAAGGAAGGAAGGAAGGAAGGAAGGAA